GAAAGATTTTTGGATGACTGGTTCTGCTTCACCCTGTATGTGACATAAGATTGAAACTGTATACACTAACGTTTTGTAACTACACTACACATGTAGTAGGATTTGACATGTATCACCCTACAGGAAGTCCTTACCAATTAATTGCCACATAACAGTAACAATAACTCCTTTGTTGAAGGTCAGATTTCAGCCAAATATTTAAGACATGCTGCTGGACTTGCACTGAACTGGACTGCAGGCTATTTGGAAGAATTGCCAAAAGTGCCGCCTAGTTGACAGGTGCAGGATCAGTGTGGGAGCGTCGATGATGATGATGATGTGGCAGTTGATTTGGGAAGTAACTAAGTTACATTAAAAGTAACTTGTTTACTTACGTTCAACAGCTGCTGACAACAACACTCCACCCTATGAAAATTACATTGATCTTTGCCAATACTTAATTGTAAGCTATTTTATAATGGTAACATCAATAATGTGTCTCCATTTATAAGGTTGAACTGAAGGGCAGATTGTTTAATGGTTACAACAGTTCAAAAAAGTTTGTAATTTCTGTTTTCCACTATTGTCTGGAAAATTCTAAGAAGGGTTTTAAACCCCGCCCCCCCCCCATGCTCCAGCCTCCAGGTTCTACGTTATGGCTCTGGGTTTGGTGTCAGAGCGCAGCGCACAGAGCTCCTCCTGCCGCTCCACAACTCAGATGACCCGCTGCACAATTTGTGACACTTATCTTAATATTAATAATTATAATGGTATAGTTATAATTAGTTGCACAACTTTACGTACTCGTTCACTCGTGGTCGTTTTCACGTTTATTGCGCTGTTCATATTAATCTCGATGTTTGCAGTTTTCTGGAGCACAACGCGAAGCTCGACGTGATTCACAGCAAATATATTAACTTAACATCAACAAAGACACAACGGGACGGATCATCCGGGAAATGATGGACAGGGAGAGTCTGACTAAAACTAACTGGATGTCAGTGTTGTGATTTGAGTTCTTTGTACATTTATTTCAAGGTTTTTCTGTGTTTGGTTCTGTTTCCTGATACTCTGTGTTGTCCTGTCTCCCCTGTTGATTGTGCCCAGCTGTTTCTAGTTGCTGTGATTACCTTCCCTGTGTATTTAGTCGCTCCTCTTGTCTTTGTTCCTTGTCGGATCCTCGTCGAGCATCGTCTAAGTTTGTTCTGTTTCCGTGCGTTCTCTGCCAGTCTGCTTGTTCCTGAGTTTTCATTATTAAAATATTCACTGTCTTCATAACCTGGACTCTTGCATTCGTTCTCACCACTACAAACTCACCACCCCATGACAGTCAGACAAATTCTAGGGTTTATGTCTGCTTATTTCCAAGCCCAAAAACCGCAACCCGCGTCTCATTAAATCTGCAAGTGACTTTAGAAAAAAACAAGCACAAAGCTGCTTATAATAATCGAACTTGGCGACAGAAACTCAATATAGTTCCTGTTTTTCCAGCAATGAGATGCGCATTTCTCTCCTCCCTCCATTGTTTCCATTTCTCTCCTGTTGACACTATCGGAGAAACGGTGGTCACTCCCCAAGATGCAGAGGAAATAACATTGAATAACAAAATAAAATAGTAACGCAAAGTGATTTCAATAAGTAGCAGTAGTCTGACTACTGGATTTGAAATAGCAAAGTGTTAGATTACTTGTTACTGAAAAATCTGGTCCGATGTCAGTTACTGACATCACTGGTGGCGGTGATACTGGAGCTTCTGCAGTCGCCATGAGGCCAGAGTGGTGCTGAGCTGCCACGGCCCTACGAGGTTGCTTGCAGATTTAACTATGCATTATATTTTTTGGAGTAATGACAGTTAAAAGCAAACACTGACACCTTTATCCTTTATCACCCAAAATGATTCATCTTTTCAAACTGTAATAAAAAAAAAATCATTTTTTTTTCACTTTTACTGCATTTAACCTTTTTAACAACTTCTGAACTATTCACAAAGTTTTCCATATTTTTAAAATATTTTCTATGTTTTATGCCTTTTTGTCCAAACAAGTCCTCAGTTTCTTAAGGAGAAAACCTGAAAATTTGTAATATTTTTCAAAAATAAACAGCAAAATGCAATATTTTTGATGTGGATATTTTAGCCTTGACCAGAACCATGTTGATGTTTATACATTATTATTTTAGGAGTAATGACAGTTAATAAGCAAAAGCTGACACCCTTTACTTTTGTGACCTAGAATGGTACATCTTATAAAAGTGCAATAAAAGCCTACTTGGCTTTTATTCTTCAAATTACACACACACACACATTCACACCATTCCTTTACATCATTGCCAACACACCATAAGTATTTTTTGTGACGTTCAATACTTTTATTGCCATTTATTTTTGGAATAAAATAAATGGCAATTTTTATTCCACTTCCCCATTGGAACCAATGGGGAAATGGAAAAGCCCTGGCCAAGTTTAATAGATTGGATCTTTAACCTGAATGAGATATTGAGTGGTAAAGCAGGATGTCCCATTTTGGAAAGGCAAGAATCGCCAAGGACCCTAACCCTAGGCAAATATAAAATTAATAAATTGAATTGCAGGTAGTTTCCTGGTCTCTCTATCTGACCTTGGTATCTGGATTTGCCTCTTTGCCTTGCCCTTGACAGATTGTTGCTGGTTGTCTGCTACCTGTACTTGGACCTACACCTGGCTTATTGGCTTCCCTCTCCTGCCTGCTCCTGGGGATGAGTACTTCACTCTCTCCCTTACTTGCCCATCAGTCATGGTTTGGATTTGTGCTTGTGCTATACAATGGCGTGGGGGACTCAGTCTGTCTTCATGGCCCATCAGCTCTTTTCCTTCTTTGGTTCTCATCCATTTGCCTTTCATCAGTGCAGTTCAGCTTATCGGCAGTATGTGGTGTATCCACCACATACTAAAAGTTTAATTTGGAGTGTTATTTAGATCACCAATCTTTACTCTCCCCTCACTGTGCTGCAGTTGATGATCCAGTTCCAATGTGCTTTTGCTGCTCTGTTTTTAAGTAAATTACTGAGTTAAAATTTTCACCCTCGTGTTGTGGCTTAATTTCTGGGTCCCACAAGTGAGTGTTGTAATCAGCATCAGAGAATGCTGACCAAAGGAATTACTGGAACCATGACGAAACTGAATGTTACACAAGTTGAATCAAATATTCATATGAAAACTTATGTGTTTTCATTCTAACTGTAAAGGATATTTCAAAGTAAACTGCGCTGTTTTTATTTTACTATGGGTTTGTTTTATATAAAATGCTTAAATTTTCAGTTTTCTACTATTTTCTCACAAACCTTGTTAATGAAAAAAACAAATTCACTGTCTATAAATTCACTTCTTTGGGTGTTTACCCTTTCTATTGCTTCTATAAATCCATCATCTTTGAACAAAATTACAAAAAAAACTGATTTCAAAGTGAAAAGAGCACAGAGTTTATGTGGATAGTTCTCAATCAAGCTTGTACAGTGCCTTGCAAAAGTATTCAGCCCCTTTGAACTTTTCAACTTTTTGCCACCTTTTGCCCATGGTTTGGTCCTGCTTTTCTTCAGCAGGAACAGGGAAGATGTTTAAAATTGATGGGAAGATGGATGGAGCCAAATACAGAACCATTCTGGAAGAAAATCTGTTGCAGTCTTCAAAAGACCTGAGACTGGGATGGAGATTTATCTTCCAATCCGACAATGATCCCAAACATAAAGCAAAATCTACAGCGGAGCGGTTCACAAATAAATGTATCCAGGTGTTATAATGGTCAAGTCAAAGTCCAGACCTGAATCCAATCGAGGATCTGTGGAAAAAGCTGAAAATTGCTGTTCACAAGGGCTCTCCATCCAACCTCACTGAGCTCCAGCTGTTTTGCAAGGAAGAATGGGCAAGAATTTCAGTTTCTTGATGTGCAAAACTGATAGAGACAAAACCAAGTGACTTGCAGCTGTAATCGCACCAAAAGGTGGTGCTACAAAGTATTAACGCAAGGTGGCTGAATAATATTGCATGCCCCACTTTGCAGTTTATTTGTTAAAAAAGTTTAAAATATCCAATGAATTTAGTTCCACCTCACGATTTTGTCCCACTTGTTATTGATTCTTCACAAAATAATACAAATTTTAGATCTTTATGTTTGAAGCCTGAAAAGTGGCAAAAGGTTGAAATGTTCAAGGGGGTTGAATACTTTCACAAGGCACTGTACATCTGGACACTGCAATTTTCCATTCTTCTTGGCAAAATCTTTCATGGTTTGTGGGAATTGGAGGTGAGCAGCCATTTTCCCAATATAAATTCTCTATTACCGGTTTAAACTTTGACTTATCCACTAAGTCAAAGACAACAACAACACCACATTGTAGTCTACAAACTTTTTCTGTGTAGCTTACCTGGATCTCTCAGTAGAAGGGTGAATACTTTCCAGGCACTGTATTATCAACACTGACTTTCCTGACATTGTTACTTATTGCAGTGTTTCTCAGCCCTGCTCTCCAAGCCACACTGCCCTGCATGTTCTAGATATCTCCGTGCTTTAATACTATTGATTCAGTTGATTGTAGTTCAGCAATTGTCTGTCAATCTGCCTTCAACTGAAATCAGCTGGGCTGAAGTAAGGAAACATCTAAAGTGTGCCTTGAGGACCAGGGTTATGAAACACTGATGTATTGCTTGGTAGGAATCAAATTTACTTTTGGAAAAATTGTACCTATTTTTTTGTGTAATTGATACAGGCATGGCAACAATAAATGGCAACTTTTCTTCTGGTGGCTTGTCTCATGGCTCAGGTAATACAGTGGAGGCACTGAGCCAAGCCTACTCAGGTATTCAGCAGTATGCAGCTGCTGCCCTACCCAACTTCTATAATCAGAGCCTGCTATCCCAGCAAAATGTGTCAGCTGCTGGAAGCCAAAAAGAAGGTGAGTTTTATCAACTAGGAGTTGAAAACAGAATAATAGAATTGTAGAGTTGTTGGTGATGGGTGCAGATAGTCATTTAACATAGGAATTTAGCATAAACAAATCTCTTGGTACTGATGATACATTTTTAGGCAATCTGATGGAGGAAGAGAGAGAGAGAAAGAGAGAGAGAGAGAGAGAGAGAGAGAGAGAGAGAGAGAGAGAATGCAATTGACAGACGGCAAATACAACAGCACACCACATGTTGCTGATGTATGTTGGTAAGAGGGTTATAAATGTGAATGGCTGGGTTTAAAACATGCAGAAGATGTTTAGGTTGTCAGCTAGTTAGGGCATTGTGGGAGTCATCACAACTATGTTGGGGGTGGTGGTGTGTTCTGTAGGGAGTGATGCTGTTCAAGATCTCTGAAGTTACTACAGGGTAATTCGCTTAGAACCTGTTTAGTTTCTAGCTGCAGTGTTTGTGAAAACACTTTGGACATTACAAACACATCTGACAATTGTCCGACAAAAATCTTAAAATTGTTGGACATGCTGACTGACTTGCTTCTCCTCTAACCTTGTAAATATATTGTCTTTTTTATTTTTTAAAAACTATCGCACTGTACTGTGTGACAAATGTTGTATTTGAGATGAAAAAATGTATATTGCACATGTCTGATAATGATAGTCTGCAGTACCCAGCTAGCATTGAACGTTCAGACAACACCCCCTAAATGTTGCCTTGAACCTTAGGGGAACAATCACATACAATGTATGATGGATATCAAAATTTAATGCCATTAAATGTGCAGCGGATGTCGTCTGCAGACATTCTACCAATGTGGGCTGAATAACATCTATGGATGGTCACCGAATGCTGGCTGGATGTTTGCTAGACATTCGCTGAACGTCCACAGCAAACAGCCACTGGACGTTTAGTTGTGTTTTAATTTGACGTCATCAAATACAAAACAGTGAATGTCATCTGTAAAAATTCATTGAATGATTGCAGACAGTTTGCCAAACATCAAAGTGTCTTGTATTAATGGCATTAATACTTCAGTTGTGATATTATGTCAGGTCTTGCAATATTAATCAGCTGCTCCCTGCTGTACATGTCCCTGTTGCTATGGTTATCCATCATAGCAAAAGTAACACAAGTATAAAGTATAAGTATAAAAAGTACTGGCAGTCCAAAATAATAAGGAACAAATGTTTGAAAACAGAAAAAGATCTCAATGAAAGTATCAGAGCTACTCCAATGTGCTGCCACCCTAAGCAGCACAATTCAAGAACCTTTCTATTGGTTCTAAAATGTACAAGTAGGTAATGCAGTGACTTTAAAACACGGTGACAGCTATTTTTAAGTCACTGCAATGCCTACTTGTACATTGTGTTGATATGATCTTTCTCTGAAATTCTTTTAGTTTTATGCCAGTTATAACAGAAGGCACACTTTCCAAAAAATTGCACTTTATTTACACTTTAGGCCAGGGGTGTCAAACTCCAGTCCTCAAGGGCCTCTGTCCTGCAACTTTTAGATGTGCCTCTGCTGCACCACACCTGAAAAGAATAATTAGGTCATTAGCAAGGCTCAGGAGAACCGATCTACACAGGGAGGAGGTAATTAAGCCATTTCATTCCACTGTTTTTTACCTGTGGCACATCTAAACACTGCAGGACAGCGGCCCTTGAGGACTGGAGTTTGACACCCCTGCTTTAGGCTTTGTGAACTTTATCCAGGGTTAGAACTGGCGCCAGTCGGATGGATTAGTGGAGGTGAGACATCTGACGATGGATTCTACTTCCCTATTCATTCTTTCAGTTTGCCCATTTGATTGGGGATAATAACCTGAAGTAAGTGTGACTTTGGCATCAATGGCAGAACAGAACTGTTTCCAAACTTGGGAGACAAACTGGGGACCACAGTCTGACAGGATTTCTTGTGAGATGCCATCCTGGGAGTGTCTGCTTTGTCAAATTGAAGGCCTGAGGAGTGCATTCTCTGAGGAGGCTGAGATCTTTAAACATCTGTGGAAAGCTGCTGGGGTGGCGTTATCACCCTGTTGTTTTTTTAATGCTTTCTTTATCTTATTTATCTATTACTGATCAACACTTTTTTTAGCTGCAGCTAGTGTTAAAGCACTTTATAAATAAAGTTGTTGTTGATGATGATGATGCACTGTAGTGTGCTGGTGTGGAAGAATTTCCAAGGCAGACCTTTCCAGATTGAAGAAACAAATCAAGTAGGCTGGCTCAGTGGTCGGTATGAGGCTGGACTCTCTAGCAACGGTAGCAGAGAGGAGAACATTGCAGAAACTCCAGGCTGTTATGGACAATGCCAGCCACCTTCTTCACTCTGTCATCAGCAGCCAGGAAAGCAGGTTCAGTGGGAGACTGCTTCTTCTAAAATGCAGTACCAACAGGCTGAGGAACTCCTTTGTCTCTTGTGCATTTAAAGTGTCCAACTTCTCAGTGGAAAAAGGGTTAACAGGAATACAACAGAAACAGATGGTTTGTAAGATTGGTGGGTTTTATGTTTTTTTTTATGTATATGTAAGAGTTCTGTATGGGAGATACAACTCCTATCTATCTATCTATCTATCTATCTATCTATCTATCTATCTATCTATCTATCTATCTATCTATCTATCTATCTATCTATCTATCTATCTATCTATCTGCCCATTATATGAAATAAACTGAAATGTGCATCTTTTCTTTGTCTAATAATTAAAATGTGATTGTTTACATGAAACAAAAGCAAGAAAAATTAAATACAGAAGAAATATGTAAGGACACCAATATTTTAATGGTATTGTGGATTGCTATTCCTGTTTATTTTGACAAATGCTCTTTTTGTTCTGTAGGCCCAGAGGGAGCAAACCTTTTCATTTATCACCTGCCTCAGGAGTTTGGAGACCAGGATCTGCTGCAGATGTTTTTACCTTTTGGAAACGTGATCTCAGCAAAGATTTTCATTGACAAACAGACCAACCTTAGCAAATGTTTTGGTGAGTCTATGTAAACTCCTGATTGCATAACAAATTACATGTTTTCCTGTGGAAGCGCCCATCTTGAAGAAGCTGTGCCTGTGGTGTCATTTTGGAGTTACATTTTAAAGGTAAACAATCACAAAATTACAAAACAAAACTTCTGAATTCAAAGAAAATTACTAGAGCCAGAGCCTCATATGGGCTCTCTCCCAGATGAGCTCATTATACAAGCTACTTTTTCCACATTTGTTGAAGCTGTCACCATGTTGTGATAGTTTGCTAAACAGATAATCTGTGAAAAGATCAATCTCTCAATCTCCTCCACCTCATCCTTGAGCTGCTACTGCTGTCTAAAGTAATGCACCATTCTGACCAAAACAACCAATCAGAACCAGGAGGAGGGTCTTAGCGCTGTCAATCAACCTCTTTCACCTACTGCTAAGTGTGCTAATGGAAGATTTTATCAAGATTGTTTGAATTTCTGTGAGTAATAAATAAATAGTTTTTGTTGTGTTATTGTAAAAAGAGTAGAGACAGGAAAAATCCACATAGATTGAACACAGTCTACGTGGATTTTACCGTTTACACTGGGGCATGGAGGAGGGGTTAAGCTGGTATTGGGGTTATAGCTGCTGCTGTCTGACTCATCTGTTAAGTGTGGTAAGAGGTACAGGTATAAGTTAAATATATCAATATGTTGTTAAATTATTTCCTTCATTCATTAAATGCTAGTGGAATGGAGGCAAACAGGAGTCTGTAGCTAAGCTAATTATGCTACATGGTTGACAATCTCATGTCTACCCACCTCTCGGAAAAAATCTGGGTTATAATTTGACATTCTTGTCTTTTTTCTCTCTTTCTTTTTGAAATCCTGGCTTTATATTTTTTCTGGGCAGCATAGTAACAGCTGCAGTCGTTCTTGTCTTGTACCGACTGCTGCTGAACACCGTCACCGTCAAGCGCTAAGCAGGGAGGAACCATTTCATACAGATCCAGGGGGCGTTCAGTGCAAATATGGATGTGTGGTTTTTGGTCTGGGAGTGGTAACATTTCGTTTTTACTGCTAAAAAAATTTATAAAACACTATATGATTAATTTTGTAATTAACAGGGCCCCCAATTTTTTCTATTTCTATAAGAAAAAAAAATTGTGGGAGGGTCCCTGTCGGTCAGGGACCCTTGGAATTGTCCTAACCTTTCCCCCCCTATCCACCTTATTCCAAGCCCCCATGAGGCTTTGTGCGATTTATGGGCACGACTTCCACTGCTAACCCGAACCACCATTTGTTTAAATGTTAGCAACTCGCTAACCAACTTCCCACAGAGGTTTTAGGTATAAAACATGTGGGAACTCCAGCTATCACAGCTTACATGTGGCAATATTGTTTTACCGCTACCTACAGCTAATGCAGGGAGGGATGTCGACTTGAAGAAATGGCCATAAATAACTCACACTAGCAAACTACTTCACTGATTTCGTTGCTTCAGATGCATTTGCAGGTTTTCTTCCCTTGGCTTTCCATCCGCACAATGAAACAAGCACACATAAAGCATTTTGGGTTCTCTGTCCAAGTTTAGAATTTTTAGCCAAATTCTTTTTGTGTCCTTATCTGTCGGTAGGCAATGAAAACTAGCAGCGCTGCTAAGTCACGGTCATTCCATTACAAAACTTAACAATCGTGTTCCTGTCGCTCCCCGTGATTAAACTCCTCTGTACTGAGCAGCTCTCTGGTAGCAGACAGCATGTCCGTAAACAAGAGTTACTAAATATTGTATTATAATTGAAAAGAGAGATGTAACTTCTATCATGAATATAGATTAGCAAAAAACCCTACAAATTACAATGAAATACTGCCACTTCCGGTGGGCACCAGAAGTAAGACCCATAATCGTTTCCCCAGTAAGCCCCCAAGGAATAAGGTGGATATGGTGCCCCTGATCATAGCTACCATATGGGCAATAATCAAAGGGAAAACCTCCTTAAATAATTTTGTTTGGAATGGGTCCAATATGCAAGTTGAAGGCATAGAACAGGGGTGCTCAAACTTTTTGAGACCAAGATCTACTTTTTCTCTCACTAGACAGCTGAGAACTACCACAGGACACGAAGACATAAAAATTGTAAATGAAACTATATTGACTTATTTTATACATCAGTTATAGTAAACATATAAACGTGATAAAAAAAACCTAATGCTGCAACTTCCTTGTTGAGATTTCTGACACTGGGAGGAGTTTGCTGAGGAATTTCAAACCTGAGGCCAGCAGGTGTCAGTCAGTTGTGTTAGATCTGAAATGTGGTTTTATATTTTAAATGGGAAAGAAGGCAAACTAATAGGAGGAACCACAGGGCACTTCTAAGTTAAAGGTGCATCTTCCTAAGTTGGAATACTTTTCACGATTTCATTACAAAGTTCCAGATGCTGGACTGGATTTGATCTCAGTGTAATTTGCAAATGATAGTTCCTCATTTTCCACTTTTGAGAGTTGAAAAAAGTTGTCATTTTGGAGAAAGTTTCATAAACATTTCCACTAAGTAAGAGACAAATAGTTACCAACATGTTTGATAGAGGAAAAGCCATTAAAGCACCTCTCAAACTCTGAGCTCAAAGCAAGATGGCAGAGAGCACCAATTTTATTCTATATTGGATAATTAATTTAATTTCATATAACTGTCATGGTAGGAGCTATTTGTTTGTTAAATACTTAATGAAAATACACATTTGATGTTTGTTGTGAATTAAGTATACTAGCAAACGGACGAGGTAATTAGTCCAATTTTGTTGTTTATTGAACGTTCAGAAATTACAGCATCTGTAAAGCGCCACAGCAAAGGTAAACAAAGGTGAAATAACCCGAACTGGTGATCATCTCAAAAGCACTTGTACCTTTTTACTCTGTCTGTTGACAAGGGCCAGCCCAAGTCATAAGCAAACTAAACAGCTGCTAAGGGCCCCAGGGCACTAAGGGGGCTCCTTGAGTGGAGCTGTTTTTTATTCATTTGTAATGGTTTCTATGTCATTATAGTAACAGAAACATATGATTTCATTATCAAGTTTTGATTTATTATTATAATAATATATGTTTGATAGTGTATGTAGAAATCATTTTTATGGACGAAAGAACAAATAAATAGGTCATGCTTCCTGTTAACATGAACTGCAATGCGCAGTGCGAATCTAAACCTTCAAAGCTCCTGTCGAAGATAAGTTAGCAAAACAATGTCACAAAAAAGACAAAAAACTTCAGGGACAGAGAAAAGAAAGAGGAAGAATAGAAAAAAAAAGCCAAAATAAAGGTTTGTTTTCATGTGTGTTGGAAATGTAATGTTTATCAAAAAGATTTATGAAGCTGCTAATAGAAAATTAGCTTGATAGTGACCTTGTGTTTGTGTGAAACGGAGTTTTAACTTTAAATTAGTTGATTATCGTATTTGGCTATATATATTTATGAGGGGGGTTTTTGGCTTCAGAATGGCATGTTTGATAACAATAATTAAAACTTCTCAATGTTTGACATTATCTAGCAAGAGATATGACACCGCAAGAAAAAGTCATAGCACCCCATTGGCACCCCCAGAAAATATTAGATTTAGTTCTATTTTTTGTCATCCATTTTAAGATTTCTTATTTGTAGTTATTATGACATTTTCATTAAAATACACAAAATAAAAAAAATAAAATTATTGTATATTGAGTTAGAAAAAGAAAGAAATAAAACATCACAGAGCAGGATTTGAACTTTGTGTATTATCACTTCCAGGAAACAATTGACATGATGCCGGCTCTGCCTGTTGTGATCTGTTTTCTGTATATTTATTTTGATTTTTTTTTTCTGTTTATTAGTCTGTTCCCCTGTGAGTCTCTGTCTTCCCTGTTGATTGATCCCAGCTGTGTCTCGTTTCTTTGATTACCCTCCCAGTGTATTTAGTCCCACCTGTTGTCTTTGTCTCTTGTCGGATCCTCGTCGTGTAACGTCTTGTTTCACCGTTGTTCAGTTCCGTGGACTATCATTAAATCATCATCATCATCATCATCATCATCTTCATCCTGGGTCTGCCTGTGTCTTCCCTCACCTCACCAAACCCACCATCATGACAGTAGGATCCGACCAAACAGAAGGTGAGAGACCCATGATGCGGACCCAAATAAGACAGTGGAGCCTGTGGCAGTGGTTCGGAGCAGTCCTGCTGGAGGAGTTTTGTGGCGGAGCTCTTCTGTGGGGATCGCGGCTGGCGATCCCCCCGCCCGGAGTGGGGCCCCGCCGTCACCGCTGCCCTGAGCCACCGGAGATCCCGGCCCATGGGCCAAGCCGTCACCGCTGCCCTGAGCCGCCGGAGATCCCGGCCCCTGGGCCAAGCCGTCACCGCCGCCTCCAATCTCCGCCTGTCCCTGCGCCAAGGCGCCTCCCCATCCAGAGTTCCCCGTACCCCCTGCTGGTGAGCAGCCTGAGTTACCCGTGGCTCCGACCCCTGAGTTTGCGGACGAGCCTCAGCTTCCCTGTGCTCCGCCCCCTGAGCTTGCGGACGAGCCTCAGCTTCCCTGTGCTCCGCCCCCTGAGTTTGCGGACGAGCCTCAGCTTCCCTGTGCTCCGCCCCCTGAGTTTGCGGACGAGCCTCAGCTTCTCTGTGCTCCGCCCAAGACTCTGCCTCCCGAGTTTCCCTGTGCTCCGCCCAAGACTCTGCCTCCCGAGTTTCCTGTGCCTGCTGCTGTGGAGCAGCCTCCCGAGTGTCGCAGTGCTCTGTCCGAGCGTCCAGCCGGCCGGCCCCTCTGCCGGCCTTCCAGAGCGTCCAGCCGGCCCCACGGGCCTGAGTTCCTGCTGCGGCGGCGGCGACTGTCGGAACCGCCTCCTCGTCTGCGCTTCCTGCGCCAGCAATGTCCTCTGGACTGTTAACGGCAGGTCCCACCCTGACCGTATTTGAGTTTTGTTCTGTTTTTCGTTGATTTTTGGACTCTAGCCCCGTCCAGTGTTTGGATTTTTTTGGGGGGTGCATCTGGTAGCTGCCCTTGAGGGGGAGGGGGGGGGTACTGTTGTGATCTGTGTTTTCTGTGTATTTATTTTGAGGTTTTTTCTGTGTTTATTAGTCTATTCCCCTGTGAGTCTCTGTCTTCCCTGTTGATTGTTCCCAGCTGTGTCTCGTTTCCTTGATTACCCTCCCAGTGTATTTAGTCCCACCTGTTGTCTTTGTCTCTTGTCGGATCCTCGTCGTGTAACGTCTTGTTCACTGTTGTTCAGTTCTGTGGATTATCAT